TGCAATCTAAGGTATGTCAAGGCTAAGTGGCAGGAAGTGGTGGAGCTACCTTGAAGGATTAGAAGCTACTGTAACTCAAGGTTGCTTTTGATGCTTAGAAAACCTTTTTCAAGAAAACCCTGGCTGCTGTGATGATGTATTCCTATACCCAGAGCCTGAAGCAGCTGAAACACAGGGAGAAGAATCAACAAGATGCCTCTCTTGGGTGTTGACCTATTATTGTTCATTGTTTGACCTTTTACTTCTGTTTGCGTTTTTCAGACTTTCATACTCAAGTGCTAGATCATGGCTTCTGGCCATTCCCTGTTTTGTTGATCTATTCAATTTCCTTTCTCTGGTCTCCCCCTGATTGCTTGTGGTCCTGTGTAAGGACATTCTTCCAGCTCTTGCCCCTTAGCATCACTGCTCCGCCTCCCTATCAGCAAATAGCACTTAGACATCGAAACTGCTTGGGAGCACATCCTCCTCACTCCTGGTTTTCATATGGAATATTTCCCATCCCCTGTCCAAAGTACTTCTCCTAGATTCTTTCCTCAGATCCTTCTCACCTAGTCATGGGTGAAGGGAATCACCAGATTTAAGATGCTGAGAAAGGAACAGGGCATGCATAGCTTGACCCTTTATTCCCTCTCTTTTCTTTGGAGCAAACTGAAGGGAGCCCAAATAGTGGTCGACCCTGCATGCTGTCCACTTACAGGAATAAGCCCTAATGTGGAAAGGTTGGAGATTTTCCAGTTGGCCAAGATTTTCCAGTCTTGTCTATGGGTAGACAAGACTGCCTGATTCAGGGGTACACATTTTATTTGCAAGCCCTCCTGTCTCATAGCCTGAAAGCCATGGTTTCCATGTGGCCTGTCTCAGCACAAAGGAGATGTACTGACCTTGATCTGCTCATTTTTTTGTCTCCCTCAGTGGGTTCAGAATTAAGGCAAGGAAAGAGGAGTGCCATTTGTTTGGGTTCCTTCATCCTTCCCCCAAATCTGTAACAGATGAAGATTTTCTAATAGCTTAAAGTAATAGGAAATCCTAATGTCCTATGCAGATGAAGCCCAAGTCCACATCTCAATGCACCTACTGAGCTGCTTCTAATGCAAAAGCATATGAGCCAAACATAAGGCATGGATTTGGTACATGTTGGCACCTTATGGAACACATGACTCATTTTGCTATTGAATTTACAAGGAGATAGTATGTTACAGTGGCTTTGTGGTAGAGTGTAAAAGCACAGGAAAACTGATAATCAGAGAAACCTAAATATACATAACTCTCTGTCACTTAACAACTGAGTGACTTTTCACATTTTAGTTAAGCTTTAGTTTACTTATTTCTTCTTAAAATTAGAATAACAGTACAGAATTCTTAGGATTGTAGTGATAAAATTAAAAAGTCTGCTGTTGGAACTCATAAAGTGTGTTTCTGCCTCATGTGTGGATCCGAAGAAGTAGATCTCCTGAGTTGCATGGTTACTATGTTGTGCTGAATTTGAACAACATTATTGTTTTTTTTTAATTTGAATGCTTTTAAAAAAATTTGAATACTTTTAAAATAATATTCAATCGTGTCTAGTAAGAAGTTTGAAAAAGCTTGTTTACTTCCATTATCTTATTGAAATTACTCCTTTGAGTATGTGGTTTTTCAAAATTATGTCCCACAGTGAAGGAATAAAACTTACTCATCTGTTGAACAAATTAGCTAAGTAATGTCTTTTGGGCATGGCAGATTTTATGAATAAATTTGGAAAATAGATCAAAACTGTGAATTAAAAAATTTCTTTCAAAATTAATCTGAAATAAAGTTGGACTTGGCTGTGTTTCTTCTTATGCCAGCAGTTTACAAACTTGCCCAGTTTGCAGTGTCATTTCCCCACCATAGTTGTGTTTTCTGTGTCTTTCTGTGCAAAAGCACATGTGCCATCTTGATTTGTATATGATCCCTTGCACAGCTTGCTGCCTTGCAGTTTCAAGTCCCTCAGATTCAGAAACACTGTTTTCTGGAAGACAGTTTTGGATTGAAAGGGTCTTATTTAGGTCAGGAAACTAAAATCTTTCCCTTGGTTTTTTGCTGATTTATTTTTCAGGACACAGTGCTTCCCCATGTGCCAGATGAATCCTCAACATCCGGATAATGGGCACCACTTCCAGCACCCTGCATATTCAGCAACCAGCCGGGGTCAGATGGAAGGGCATTTTCACATCCTCCTATTTTATCTGTCACCGTCTATGACAAACAACTTCTCCCAGGTGTATTGACTAGTGATGGCCTCACAATTTATGGCTTCCTTCAATAAAAAGGTGAATAGAGGATTACATTATTGTCTGGCCAAAGTAATGAGTTATAATACGGTAAGTGTGCATGTGTGCGCATATGGGCACATTTTAATGACTGGAAGAGAGAGAGAGTGCAAGGAGAACGGGGGTGGGGGTGAGAGGAGGGGTGGAGAGAGTAGGAGTGTGTTGGGCAAACTTACATTTGACTAATTTTGGCTCAGTGGGAATGATGGTATGTAAAAGTGCTCTTCCTTTTATTACGATCCAAATGTTGGGACTTATCTGAGAACTTCACACATTAAAAAATCAAAGACAATACAAATATAAGACAAGACCATTAAAAACAATGTCGATTTTTGCTGTTGTTTTCTTGTGGATGTGGGAAGGGGTATCAATGCATATATTGAAATAAAACTTCTTAAAAGTTTTCTTTAAGCATTTTTCTTCCCTAAAGTTTCCCTACATAAGGTAGCTCCTCTATTTTTGTCGTTTCTGTTTCTATGCCTCACCCTTGGCCTAAAACTTTAATCTCCTTTTCCATCTCGGAATTCTACTAGCATATTTCAAAAATGCTGAGAATTCAGAATTCCTATCTCAGGATTCAGAAACTCTCAGGAAAAGGCCAGCTGAAGGCCCTGAGCCAAATGAAAACCCAGTTTTTAACCACAGCCCCGATTGCCCTTGTCCTCCAAGCATGCCCACTGGAAACTTCCATCATTTTACCAGTTGATGGTGGAATATACAATAGAATGGAAAACACACCAGAGTTAGAACTCAGAAGACTTCTGCCACCAAGAAGTGGTGTGATTCCAAGAAATTTATTTAATGCTGAGCCCCACCTTCCTCATTCTAAAATGGAGTTAGTAGAACTTTACCTACCTCATAGGGAAGCTTGGAAGTCAAACTCATTGGTGCAGACAGTGAAAGTACTTGATGAATTGGAAAGCATTCTATTCTTCCATGAGTATCTAGAATGAGAATGTAATCATTGGGGAGGGTTTTAAAGGTGTCTGTTCTGCCCTTCATTTTGACAGTGGGGAAATTAAAAACCAGGCAGTGTCATAACTCACTCAAGACCATAAAGATAGAAAAAAAGTGAGATTAATGCTGGTATTCCCAATATTATAGATTAGAGGTAGAATGAATGAATTTTCACCTGTTTAATAAGGAATTAACCACAAATTGAGCAATTGGGTATCAGTGTTTGAGGGAACACTACTAGATAAAGGAAGAATAGAGTCAGAGGCATCGTTGATAGTGGACAACGGGGAGAACGTGAATCAGGCTATTTGTGCATGTAAGGAAGAATGGTGAGTTGCCACCATTCTTCTAACCACCCAGAAGGGTGGTTAGTGGCTTAAGGGACTCAGTAACATTCGTTATTTTACCTTTTCTAAAATGCTGTACAAGATGTTTTTTGTGGAGTATTTATTTTGAATGATTAGTGATGATTAGATTATCTATTCAAACTGAACTGATTAATTGCCATTCCTATCAATGTATTACAGCTGTGCATATATAGCAGCAATTCATTTACTGGAAGGAGAAAATTTCCCTTACCCATGAGTCATGAGAATCTAATTGCCACTGGAGTTTTATTTTGATGAAGCCAGTGATTAAGCAATTGGTAAGTTATTTGGTTCACGATGTCCAGATTCTCACAATCTGCCTCCATGTGTTGCTTATCTTTTAGTCTTGGGTTCTGTACCACTTGGGTAAATAAACCTCAGATGAGGCAGTTGCTAGAACATTCTCTCCTTGTAATGGGCAATGAGAGACCCGATCACCAGATAGTTGCTAGGTAAAGAGAGCTGGTGCTCTTTAGATGGCAGAGATTGGGCTGTGTTAGGAATGAAGTTTGCTCTTTTTGCTTTTTGCCCCCTCCCCCCCTTTAAATGTTATATGGTGTGCTCTTAAAGCTTATTCTATTGTCAAGTGTTAACATTTTTCTTAAGCAATTTCTTCAAGGGAAGTTTCATTACCTCTTTTTTGAAATGATACTCTCCATCTGTTTTTGCTGGCAACGTAAGGAACAATTTCCAGTACCCAATTAAAGTTATGCAGGCTGATTTTCATTAATATGTCACTAAACACTTCTAGCTATTGTGCATTATTTTCTTGGGGAATAAAAATCATAGTCTCTCGACAGTTACTTTAGACCTTTCAAGACTTGACATGGCTCTGAAGCACTTCCTTAGAGGTACTCATGCTTTTATCTTGTTATGGAGAGAGCAGGTTTTCAGTGAGGAGTAATTCAGTTAAAAACCCCATGCTTAGTAAGTGCGAGCAATAAGCTCATTCAGGGTCTTGCCATTAGTGGATGTAGAACTCTGAGGTTAAGGTGTGTGGCTTTAATAAACATTCACGGTTTGCACTCTCTTCTTGTACAATTTTGATGTTTCCCTATCTCAAAGCATATTTTATCTCATCACATCTGAAACTCTTGAACCTGTCTCAGGCTGGATTAAAGTACAACATGAATATATCTGCTCATTCTAATTCACACCTTCATGCAATTCATTTCATTTTGAAACAACAAAACAGATTCCAGAATGCCAATTTCCAATTAGGGCATGGTTGACTTTTTCCTAAAAAAAAAAAAAAATCACCACTCAAAAAGTAAATGAAAATGGGGGACAGATATTGAAAACGGGAAGAAATGATACAGTTTTCTCTCAGACATAGGAATTTGCAGGAGACAGAGAAAGAGAGAAAGGCGGATGGAGGAGAGAATATAAATCTTAGACAACAGAAGGTAAGATCTGAAAGCCCCTTGGGTCTAGGATTCTCTTACCGAGAGTGTCTTGGGGGAAATGGGTGTTTGTGGGTCTCTATAGGGCCGAGATAGTGAAGGGGCAGTTGAGCCTGGACTATTATTTGGAGAGGTCCAGCAGCCATGAACCCTAGTGACAGGGGCCAAGACAATACAGCATGTAGCTGAGCTTTGCCTTTTATCTTCAGGCCCCTGGAATTTTATTTTAATGATGTCAGTGATTGAGCAACTGACAATTTACTTGGTTCATGGTAGCCAGCTTCGTACAGTCTCCCTGCATGTATCCTGGTCTTTTACATTTTTGTTGAAATGACATTGTTTTGCAATGTTGTATGTGATCTGTCCTTATCTTTTAATAATGGGGCTTGTACTAGTTGGAAGAGTAAACTTCAGATGAGTGCTGTTCCCACTGGGAGAAAAGCCTGAACTCAGGGAACTGCGCCTGGCGGTGGGCATAGAGGTTTTGTGGAGGTGTGTGCCACTTTGCCATAATTTGGGAGGAGACGAACCGGATTGCCTCAATAGACAACCATCTGGGCTTCAGCTGGGAAATCCTGTGGCAGTGTCAGCTGCAGTGGTGGGAGAGAAAAGTGTCACCTGCTTAGCCAGTTTTTTCTCTGAAAGGGACTTCGTAGCTAGAAATTTGAACCAGTCAATTCCTGGGATCAGTGGACACATCTTGAACATGGTAGTGGTGTGTGGAGGGAGGAGAAGGATCTAAAATTATAACTGTTTTCTGTCCTAAGCTAGTAGAGTAGGGAAATATCCGCTGCACAGAAGCAATTGTATAGGACTTTTCTTCAAACTGGAAGATAAAGAAATCAACTTCCAATCATAGAGAATGCTTAGCTTTATTACTACATTTCATCTAGAATATATAAAAATTCCATGAAGTGGTAAAATACCAAAATTCAGATAACAGAGTTTGTGCTGTTATGTAAAAACTGGTGAATCCTAGAAGCCTTTAGGTATATCTTCTCACTCCCTTTTGGAAGAGCTTATCCTGATAATCTCTGGTCACCCCCTGTTCAATGTAGCTTGAATTTCCTCACTGTAAACCCTGTTGAAGTCTTTACTAGTCTCTACTGACCACAGGATAATCAATCCCTCTCCTATCGAGAGTCTGTCAGAGCAGTGTCCCTTTAGCTTGCTGCTCCAAGAACTGTAGACTGCGGGGACCAGCCCTATAGTTGCTTCTGCTGGGGCCTGTCTTGTCTGCTTCCCTTGGCAGAGCTGCCCCACCACTTGCCAGGACCTGCCAGGATTGGGTTACTTCTAGGACCCGCAATGGGACTTGCTGGGGTCCATGGAGGCCGACTGGTTCTGGTTCCATTCATCACTTGCTGATATCTGCTGGGGTATATGGTGGCAAAGGGTGTTTCCAGAGGCCTCCACTACTGATTTCTGTGGAAAGGCCTATCACCAGTGGCCTTTCCCAGGGCACACTGAGATCTGTGAAGGCCTACTGTGGTCTGCTTCCAGGTCACGGCTCGGGGCCCAGGGTTTGCTGAGGTCGGCTAAGGGTTACCGTGGAAAGACCTGGCCAGTTCCACTCTGCTACTTGTGGGGTTGGCGGCACTGCTGGAGCTCACCACCTCCACCAGGGTATGCTACCTTCATAGCCCCTTCTGCTGTGTGCTGGGGTCCCCTCTGGATGTTACTCCTAGCTTGTGATATAATTGTCGGTTTTCCCTCAAGAGTTACTGGTTTTGCTCTGTTACAATCTAGCTGTGAGTTTGTGGAGGAGATGAGCCCAGCAGATTCACTCTGCCGCCATCTTGCCTTGCCCTATGCCCCTTCAGGTATTTATAAATCCTTTTTTTTTTTTTAGTTTTCTGAGACCAAACTAGAACAGGAAGAATGAGCCTGAGCCAACATGCCGAAGCAGTAGGGGAGGAGAATGCTGTCACTTAAGGTATTGTACTGTTTGGCTAGATGCCTCTAACTTACAGGTATAAATTCCTTTTTTTTTTTTTTTTTCAACTTTCTTAGTTCTTTTTCCAATCACCAGATTGAGGAGGCCATAGATACACAGGGTTATGTAATTCTCATTTAACCAAGAGGAGTGTCCTTTTGTATGCAAATAATTTTTGAATATAACTGTCACTTAAAAAATACTAGGAATTAATTTAATTCTGGTCTTCCCTTCCTTTGCTTTGTTCTATAGGTATGTATATGGCAATTTCCACTACTAAAATGCTAGTCCTTCGACCCACATATACTTTCATTTTACCTTTGTATTTGTCATGCAATTTCCTTATAAAGGTGTCTGGAAGTGAATAAAAGCAACACTGTTGATGCCTCTGTCAGCTTGTTGGAGTAGCAGCTCTCCAGTCTCACCTTTTCCCCCTGCGCACCTCTACTGCTAGTCTGCTCACCAGCGGGAAAAGGCAAAATCAGGGAGGAGAGAGGGAGGGAAAAAGAAAAGGAGAGAGGGCGTGAGGGAGTGAGGGTGGGGGGAGAGAGAGAGAGAGAGAGAGAGAGAAGGAGAGAGAGAGAAAGCTGAAGAAATTACTCTGAGTCCACAGGAGGGAAGCATAACAGGAGGTGAGATAATGGGTTTTATACACTGCATAGTAAGTGTAATAAACTCCAAGCTGGGAGGACAGCAAGGGTGCTCTGTGTGGGTTAATTGGTACCCTGCCTGCTCTTGAGAGAAAAATAAATTTTCAACCACATCAAAGTCTGCTCCAGAAGAAAAAATGCTCATTAAAAATGCCATTTCCAGGAACTCTGGCAGTCAGACAATAAGAAGGCTGAAAAATCACCTCTATTTGGCCTGCTCCTCCCTCAAACTTTGAACTATTTGTCTTGAGAAGAACAAAGAAAGCATGTAGGTAATACATTTAAATCCAAGTCCTTAGAAAGTGGAGTGAATTAGCGAGGGTTGACTTAGATCAATTTGAGGTCTCCCAGTGTGTCAAAATTTATTAGTGAGGGTGTGTTAAAAATCACCCTATGCCTCCATCTCCATCTCGTGAAAGGCTTACAGCAAGTGCATGGATGCTTCCAGTACTGTGCTCTCCTGATGGGCAAAAGGGCGAGATAAAGTAGATTGGCTTCTACATTTAATCCTGGAGGAAAACTCTGTGGTTCATAGATTTTTTCCTACCATTTACCTTATTTATTCTAAGACCATTTATCCTAAGAGCATTGTAGATTGCTGACGGCCGGGAGCATATTTTATTCCCTTTGGAAAACTTTTTATTTTGGAATAATTTTAGCTTTATGGAAGAGTTGTAAAGATAATTGCAGAGAATTCTCATATATACTTTATGTAACTTCTCCTAATATTGTAATCTTATATAGCCATAGTACATGTTTCAAAACTAAGTAATTAACATAGTATAATACTATGAACTAGAGGCTAGCTTCAAATTTTGTCATTTCTTTACTAACTTCTTTTCTCTATTCCATAATTCAATCCAGGGTACCACTTCACATCTTTCTGTCTATCTACCTACCTACCTACCCACTATCAACTTATTTGTTGATATAATCTCACTTTTTTAAAGCAAATTAATCTTGCATTATGATATCATGTAATTTTAAGATGTGCATCATTGAAAATCAATAACCATGTGCATTTAGAGCTTACATATTTCTCATAACCAGGGCTATGCCTAATAGGTGCTCAATATGTTTGCTGAGAGAACAAACTAGAAAAGAGAAATTAACAGTCAGTTACTTAGGTGTGGATACAGAGGTCTACAGACCTCTGGATACAGAGTGGTGACCGTGGATGTATCTGCTGCACAAAATTCTACACGGAAAGTTGGAAGCAATTAAACAGAAGACCCTGGAGCTAGCAGTTGGCAAGTCATTGTGGGCTTTTGTCTCAATAGCTTAATAGAGTGGGGGCAGCAGTGGTTTTCGTGGGTTGAAGAGTGAGTGGGAAGGAGAGACAGTAAGTGTGGGGAACTTTTAAAGCACTTTGTCAGTGAAGGCAAAGGCGGAAAAAGTTCAGTGATAGAGGGAGATGAAGGTCATGAGAACAGTTTCAAGAAAAGGGTTGGTGAGCTGATTTGTAGTCAGAGAAAAGGGAAACTTGAAAAGTTGGGGAGGATTTAAGACCTAATAAAGAAGAGGTGATGGCTGAAGTAATGCCAAGGAAAACTAGCTGTTGGAAAGGAGGGGAAAGCGTCTTTCCACTGAAGTAGGAAGAAAGGGGGATATTGGGTGAGGGCCATGGGTCTGTTTGTCCCGTTTACCCTGTTTCTTTCTCATCTAGATTTAATCGCTTTTAATTTTTAAAGAGAAGCTGAAAGATCATTCTCTGAGGGGGTAGGGGGCAGGAATGGATTGTAATAAGAGATTTTCAGAGACTGATGAAGATTGTTAGACTATTCGCTATGGGGCAAAGAAAATGCAGTGCCTAGGAGTGAATGCAGTGACTGATACAGCGTCCCTGAGGGCCCAGACATCATCGCGATGTTGTATTTGGGGCCTGAGCTAGTGGTGAATTGTGTCACTCTTAGCCTGCCAGATCCCTTGAGTACATAATAGCTTTTAAAAGTCATCTTTATTTTTCCTCTCATCTTACTATATCATTGGTCAAATTATTTATTGTGTTCCTCAATTCATTCATATTTTTCATTAACTAATAATGAATAATTTCTGTTTTGTGATGGGGTTTCACAGAGTAACCTGCCATATTAACAATGGAATTTTTCTACATTATTCTCCCCCTCTCCCCTCTGTATTATTTTGTTTTTTTGTTTTTTTAAGATTTATTTATTTTTATACAAGAGCTGGGGTACAGGTCAGCAGGAGGGTGAGAGGATTCACCAGAGACAGAGCAGGGAGCAGAACAGGCAGGCTGACCAAAAGCACTGCTGAGGGGAGCAGTGGGCGCAACAGGAGAGGTCTGCCGCTCCATGTGGGAATCTCCCTGGCCTGCTGGGAATTGAACCCACGCTGCAGAGGCTGCGGCACAGCTTCACAGCATGGAGCTCAACTTGCTGTGCCATGGGGGACGCCCCCTGCTCTGTATTAATGGTAAATAATTCTTGCAATATTAAGCCTATCTTAAATAATGACTATAACCAAACTTCTTGAGCACCTATTATATTATAGTACTGTATTAAATATTTTACATATGACTCCAAGGCATCTCAGTTTTAGTTGTGGGAACTGAGTCTTGGAGAGAGTCATTCTTTCAACCAACATATATTAAGCATCCTCCATGTGTCAGGCTTTATTTATTTATTTTGTTCATTGGAAAATAAATTGTAAGAGCCCACTAGCTGCACAGTTATTGGTAACAGTAAGCGCCTTCTTCCTTTGCAATTTGGTCTTCCTCAATTGGTCCTGTGGAGGCTTTCTTGTCACTTTCCCTATTTGATAACAGTTTAGAAGGATTGTTAGTCAAGGTGCTTTGTTTTCTTGACTAGTCTTGACTAGATTAATGGACTAGGCCAATTGAATGCTTTATTTTTTTTTAAATGAGATCTGAATCCTGTAACTAGAGAGCACAAATGAATAATTGACAGTCATTCATCCTTGTGTTTTGAAAGCTTTTTTGAAATGAGATCACCTGGTATGCCTGTGGATTTTGGTCATTTCTGAGTTTGATTTTCTGGTCTTATAATCCTGAGATCTCTCCTATCATGCTGTCATCATCATCATCATCATCATCATCATCATCCTCATCCTCATCCTCATCCTCATCCTCATCCTCATCATTTTTGCTTAAGTTAACCTAGTTTCTGTAGCTCACCATCAAGGAAACTAGGTTTGTCTCATTCTAGAATCCATCCCTTAAGTGCACAACTTTCATTAGCATATATTCCATAACACATTAGAATTCCTGGGAAATTGTCTCAGGGATTGTTACCTTATATATACTGATGTGAAAGTTTTCTGGACCTGGAGAAGCAGGACACTGAATCATCTGATTTTTTTTCTTTATTTTGAGCATGATTTATAAAGGCTGAGTCCTACTTTATTTCTCTAGGGATATGGAGTAGGCTAATCAAAGTACCCAGTTGGTCCTCATCTATGGTGAAGTATCTTATCACTTTGGCAATGACCTTATGGCAATTACTTGTGCTTGGTGGGACATTATTTCAGCCCCAGGGACCTATCAATAGCTTTCACCACCTCTGCTCACTTAGATTGTTAGTGCCTTATAGTCTTGGCTCTTGCTGTCTGTGTTTAGCAGGCGTTATGAACATAGGAGGAATAGCTGGCATTGCTGCCACTTGCAGGAGTCATCCTACTTTTGTGGAAACATGGAAGTGCTGTTCCTAGCCTCCCTGCAGGGATGCAGCCACGTACGTACAAACACCAGGCCACTGCTTACATTGTGAGCATCACAGATCACATTCCTAGAGTCAAACAATGAAGTGTCTGACTCCAGGTGTGGAATTGGCTTCTTGCCTATTTCTTCCTGCTTGGTGTCTATTTATGAATGCCAGCCCAGACTTCTTTCTTACAACCCTCTTCATGGTTGTTTCCTCACACCATCTCTAAGAACTTCAGACTCAGAACTTAGCTCTACCCTCTGGATTTATTTTTCTTATCGGTTTTATCTAAGAGTTAATTCCTTGGTATGCTGTCCGTATGTATAGACCCTCACTAACTCTGAATAGTAAAGAACATACAAACTGTGATCTGAAAGGGGAGGGCTTCCAGAAAGTTCTGATACATGATTTCTGCAACTTGTCCATTTTCTCTCTTGCCTTTGAAAGTTGATCCGGCAGGAGTGTGAGAGAAGTGACCCCTATGTGTGCTTCCTGCACAGCAGATTTCAGTACAAGAGAGCAATTGTGTTTTCTTACTGGACTTGCCCTCCTTCAGAAGCAAGGAGTATTTAATTGTTATTTCAATTTTTTGCCTCACAGAATGCCAGGTTATTCTGGTTTCCTTTCTTCCTTTCTGAACCTTGAAGCATTTACGAATAAAATGACTTAC